ACACAATTTTGACTGAGGCTTCACATAATGCCTTGAAAATCTTGAAATGGAGACAGTTGCAGAAAAGAAAGAAGATATTAGAAATGTCTGATTACATTCTGTGTTGTTAGAAATAAATGGGACTTGATAATAGACATGTATGTTTTTAAAAAGAAAATGAAAAAAAATATCTTTGCTGCCCTGCATCCAACCTCATAAACTAGACTCAGTAAACAATTGCCTTAAACCAAATGGAAAAAAAAACTTTGCAAAGAAAAGTTTGACTCATCCATGAGGCTCAAGAATAGGAATGATATCAACTTGAAGACCCCATTCTGTGGAACTTCCCTGGACATTATTTTAGGCTTTTGATTGATTACTCTCACAGTACAGTTATATTTTTTCATTGCAACCTTAAAGTTTGAATTTACTACAATTTACAATTATTACATACTTTATGTATTTTAATACACCTGTTGATGCAACCCAGTAGGTTTGTACTTACAAAACAAAGTCAACTCAAAGTTCTTCAGTCTATTTTTACAGTCTCCTAAAAATATTTTTACAGTCTCCTAAAAATATCAATACAATACCAAGCCGCAGCATTTTCAAGACCGAGGTCACAGTTTTTTATCATACGGACCGACACTTAGCCGGTAAATAACATATTTATTTTTTTAAGACTTGACGAGATTCCTTCCGAAAGAACCCGAATGGTCTAGGGCTGTAAATACGGCAAGATCTTCCATAAACTGAACAATTTTTGAACGAGTAAATGGTAATTAAAATAGAGGTGATGCAAATTAAAGAGAGATGCCTCGCCAAAACATTTTCATATGTGTAAGGATAGAGGTGATTTAAAAGGCTTCAGTCCAAACAAACTTTGAAACATTATTTTTACAAGTACCTGTCACAATCTGACACCTGTCAATTAGAGAGCGCGTAAGAAAAAAAAAAGCGCAAGAACATTTGAAAAACCACGGAACTAGTTTGGCAAGGACTGTCACGACAATGTTTTCTTCAAAAACATTCAATGATCTAACGGAAAGTATTATTCACTCTCATCGACGATTCATTCATGTACGAAGATTTACCTCTGTTCATTAAGTTAACGGCGAGGAAAGTAATTGTGAGTAAATCAAATTTTTTATTTTGAAGTTGTGAGAGTTTGCTCGTTTGTTTGCTGCAATGACGTGTGTAACTCTGGTGTTTCCTCCACAAAAACTAAATTCGAATGGTCCACTCCAACGAGACACAAGGGGATTTATTGGGGCCTTTTCTCGATAAATCCCTTCAGTTTCTGTAGTGCAATTTACGGTACAAATGTCCAAATTGAACGCACTCGGAAAGACTCACCGAGGGCGTATATTTGTTGTAGAGCTGAATTTAAAACTTCGCTCGCTCTTTCACTACGAACAAATTGTTTGAGAAAATTCAGATATTAAATGAATAAAAGTTCCATCGTTCATTTTAACTGTAACCAAATACCTCTAAGTACTTTTTGTGAACGATTAAAAGTAATTGCAGCCGGTTTTAGGCCGCTTGTCAACCAACGTAATGAAACTACTGCCTAAACAAAGTCATTCTGAAACCCATATTTTTCTGTCAACCAAAGTGATTTGAGAGAGAGAAAAGAGAGGATTCATAAGTTATTTTATTGAGGTAGTAACCGACGTGATTTGTTAAAAATACTGCTCAGCCGGAAAAACCAGATGTTTATGAGAAATGGCAACGAAATTTGGGATGTACTCGGTGATTCACGAAAGCGTAGCCGTGGCCCGTGGGCAGAGATAGGAAAATACTGACTGGGTAAAGAACCAATCAGATTGCAGGATTTGGTACCGTGCCCTCTAAAAATGAAAAATGAAAGCAGTGAGCTTTTCCTCTCAGTTATCCATTGTTTAAAGACTCAAGCGAACAACTGCACATGAGATGAAACCTGCGTTTTTTCTACGTTCAAAGTGACTGAATAGAAGAAACTTCATGAGGGACGTGCTTCTGGTTATTTCAGGTTTTCTTTTACAGTATAGTTATGGTGTTCGTGATGCGAACTGACAAGGAAAATCTCGCTTCCAGGGAAACGTAAAGGAAAACACATCAGTCTGTGAAAACACTGTATCGAGTATATAAAAGCTTCTTCCCCTTAGTCATTGACTCTTTCTCAAGACACCTGTCTGATGATTTTTGCAAGAGGCATAACGTTCACAGGAAATTGGTAGGCGCAGAAGTTGGACCTTACACTGGTAACAATGGCGGGCTTAAGAACTCACATACGCAGCGTGTCAAGTGTCAAGTGTATCATTTTTCACTTCCAGTCTGAAATTATTTACCTCCTTCTCCTATTTTAAGTTAAGATCTCTCCATAGAGACGGAGTTTAAAAACTTAAATAAAAATGCTTTAACTCTAAAATCTTCCTCAGAGTTCATGACCAAATGGTGCAAATCGCTATGACGTTTCTATCAAAAGTTAAACCACGAACCTTGACTGACTGGCAAGAATCATGCGATTATAATCAATTACCATTGTGTTGCAATTGATGGCCTTGGTTTTGAGTGGTCGAATTCATCTGAGGCTAAGCATTTTAATTCACTTTCAATAGGGCCAGATAAATACTACATCACCTCCAACAAAAAAATCACCATAATTTTATTAAATTACTATTGGATATTTCAATAAAAAGTGTCATCGCATCATATGTCTAGAAGATTCAGTTACGGCATAGTACAAACGTTTTCATTCAGAATATCTAAGAAAAAAAGGCAGTACACTGTTTTCATTTTCATTTTTTCAACTAAGAGAACACTAATGCCATGATGATAGGGTCTCAACTCTTCCAAAGTAAAGATTTGGAAGCGAGCAGACGACCCACTGTTCCAGCGGATTCTCGTCTTGGAATCGACTGAACTGAATGGCCTCTTGTTTCTTTTTCAAGGCCTCCAGGTTTTTTTGACAGGATGACTTCTGCCAGTAAAGGTTCGTCTCGTTGTCGTGACTAAAAAGAGATAAAACATATTTATAGCTAGAAATGATTTTTTTTCTGATTTTCCCCATTTGAGAGCACTAGCTTTCGTTCTCCCCCCTCCCCGCCCTACTTGCCGATCTCCAAACACTCTATGCACTGACCGAGGACTATTATAGAGTCTTCTGATTATTTGAGAACTCACAATGTTTTTGTGTGTTTGAAGGACTGAAACTTCTGTAGTTAACTTTTTAATAACGCCATAGTGTACGGTTATTTAACAGCGATTTAATTACCAGTAGTTATCATCCAGAAAATCACATCTATTTTCTGTAACATTCAGAGCAACTTGCTCAAAGAAAAGCTTTCGCTCCAAAGCTTCAATTTCTTTCATCATTTCAGTGGCTGCTCGATATTTCTGTGTTCCAGGCCCTGCGTTAGGGGCGAGGCGTGACCTTTGAAAGGCCTTAAGTAATCTACATAAAATGTCAAAAGAGAACGAAGAAGAATAATTAGCCCACACAAGTAATGAACAATATCAGTGAATCGCACTAGCAAGTGCTAATTTTAGGTTTACAAAAGAAGACTTTGAAGAAAAGAAAGAGCTAAGAAAAGGTCTCAGATAGAACAAATTATCCGCCTTCTTTGTGTCTACCAAGAGCTAGAAATACTGGTCTCTCTCTTTTTGTCGGAATAACCCAGATGAAGCCCTCCTAGCTAAAGACATTTACACAACTAGAGCATATGGACTCTCTATTCGTTTTTTACGATTAGGTATAAAAGGGAGAATGTCAAAGAAAAGAAGGTTAATCGAGAAAGAATCGGCCACCACAGCTAACATTACTCGAATGAACTTACTCATTTGCACACTGAAGTTGTTCCTGGAGACAAGCTATGTGTTCTTGTTCTTCTTTCAGTTGCTCTCTCAGTTTCCTACTCGACGGAAAAAAAATATGCAGATTTGAACAAGATAGACGATGTGATCAATGTCACCATGGAAAACAAAATCGAGTCGCAAGAGCATCTGAATATTTTCTTCAAGCGGAAGAAAAATGTTTACTCACCTCTTATATTCTTTCTTCTCTCTTATCTTGGATTTGTATGAACTTAAAGCAGATCCCATTTTTAGCTTTTGCTGGGTTGTATCTGAACAAAGTTTACGCACTTTGAAATATAAGTCTCTCTGGACAGTATTTTCATGCGAATGGAGTGCTCCAGATTGTGACATAACAAAAGAGATTCAAGCGCGCGCGAGATTTGATAAACCAATCAGGTTTCATTTCAGGCACTGTCATTTAAGCGCGAGCGAATTTATAATAACGGCAATATTTTTCGTTAGCTTTGTGTCAAAATGACGACCCTTGATTGATATTTAATAAGTAAAAAAGAGTTATATCTTTCAAACCTCTGGTCCGCTTACTTTGGCCACATGCTCGTAAATTACGAGAAGTGCTCTAAGCAAAAAAAAGATCAGGGCCTTTCAGTGGTAACTGAAAAAAAAACACGATAACGAAAATAATAGGTTTAAAAGTGCGTTTCAACAACCAGGTATATCAAAATATGAACTAGGTAACATTTAATATTGAATCACAAGTGCACAGCACAGTAGAACTTCACAGACTAAGTATCAAATGAGGTCTACGGTAATGGAGGGCTGCCCATGCCTCAGACGATTTATCCACTTGTTAAGAGCCTTTTAATGGATCTCAACTACATTATTACAAGCAACGACTTTGTAAAAATTATTTTCATCGGAACCTGTCGGTTCCAACAAAATGTGAACTTATATTAAAACAAGGAAATACCAGATGTAACCACAATTCAACTGACCAATGCGCATTTAGTATTTGTTTGCGACCGAGGTATCGAGGTAACTGGATACCAATCAAAAGTTTAACTAGCAAGTGTTGTTGGGATATGTAACTAACAAAATGGCGCCGGGTTAGAGTTGTAGTATCGCTTGAAAAATGGCTGTTGTTCCATATCAATGAACGCCGAAATATGATCAAAACTAATAAGCTTCTAAGGCTGAAAGCGAAAACAGGCCGACTTGTTGATGTTGTGCGGGAACACTATCTGCGGAAAGATGTTCCTTGCCACAGTGAAGTTTGTGCAGTTTGCGAACAAGGTAAGTAAGCGTTTGCTAGCAATGGAAGCTACAGCCAATCTTTGGAAGTTGTTATCTTAGTTACAGCAACTATAGTTCAATATCACACACTTTAATTTATTTTGTTATTTAGGCAACGGAACTTTGCTTTGTAAATCACTGACTCATTACGTTGTTCCTGATTGCCAGGTACAGTAAGTTGAATTTGTTTACCGCACTTTGACCGATCTTGGCCAAAGGGGTCCGTATGTCATTCGTCCGTTCAATTTTCTTTTGAAATTAAAAATTGAAAATTGATGTGAATTTTTTGATTTTCGTTTTTTTTTATTATAAAAAATACGAAAGTGCCAAATCGAAAACTTTTGACTTTTTTTCCTTTTGATAGAATATTGAAACATATCTTATATTTTTAATTTAATCTTGTCAACAATAAAGAGAAAAATGAAACAGAGCGGCAATTTTGCTTTTCCGACAATGTTTCAGTCTGTGGCATGGCTTAGTTTTTCTGTTTTTCTGGCAGTGTAATAATTGAAAATTGATTGCAATTCTCAATTTTTGTTTTTCAGCCAAAACACTCAAAATAGTTGATAGAACTAGCCAAGAGGGAGGGGGAGGGGTCCATTTGCATGGTAACTTTTGCCCCCAGCACCCTATCCCCATGGTCAGGTCTGCTTCCTTGCTTTTAGGGTTGGGAATGAAGTGAGAGTTTAGCTGTCTCTTCATGGTCTTTCATGATGTTTTGGAGTGTCTTCCTCAGTTCTGTCCATTACAGCGAGCAGCCAGACTTTGGACATTAGCTAAGAAGTTAAAAAGACCTTAGACTTTGTATTGGAGCATAGTGGTGGGGGTAATGTAGCCATATCGATTTTTTCACCATACTGTAAAATGTGGTTGGAAGGAAGGTGAGGGAGAGGGAGGCAGTAAGTTTCTGATACCACCCCCTCCCCAATGGCCTGCCTGGAGTCTGCGAAGGAAGTGAAAGTTTTGCGCTCTTTTGGACTGTCCGTTCACTGACATCATGGCAAGCAATAAAACCTTCGATTTGACTAAGGACAGAAAAGTGCTTAAATTATGAATAGCAGCAGGGGATATGACAGTTTCTAGGCTTTGTCAAGCTTTACAGGCAAGTACACATTGTATTTACATTGGAGTCTTGCAAAATCGCCCAATGTCATGACTGCAATAATGTAGGATTAAGTAATCTTAACCAAAATTTAGATTGTGGTTAACTGTGGTTACCCTCCAAGCAGTTGTGTTGGGGGTGAAATCTTCAACACTGAAAACAGCAAATGAGGAAAGTTGTATTTCTCAAGTGGAAATGAATTTGTTGTACTTAAGGGATGAGTTTGGAGACATGATGTACTGGCTGACTGACTCAGGATGATTGAATGTCTTGCATTTAGATGATGGATCTTCTCTTCTTGTCATGGGGGAAGATTTGACGAATTTGCCATCAAACATCCCACAGATAGGTGGACAACATATACAGGGCAATTAAGTCATTTGTTAACTTATGGTGGCTCTCTTACTGGCTCTCAAGCAAGTTCTTCAAGGACACCACTTTTCGGTAATGCAAGACAAAAAGGTGGCGCTCTTGCGAAGATTATTCATGCAGAAATAACACACAAGAATGTGAAGGGACCTCCTATGTTCCAAGAGCTAGTGACAGATACATTTTGGAAGAAACCGCTCATGTAATTTACGTTCAGTCCAAGGCAAGAGATGCATTCAACAATTCACCTCTAGTGTTCATGATGATGCTTGAACAAACACTGAAAACTGATTGAGCTGTTCACTATGTTTTGTTAGAAAGGGAATTTCTGCAAGAAGACATGTTGACCAAAATAAAGATTCTGATGCTGTTACGTACGCATTCAGTGTTTAATTCCTTTCAGTACTGTTAATAAATCATGTTGAGTGTTAAAGACATGTGCTGACTGCTCATTTATTATTGACAGCCGGGGAAAAAATGAGCCTTAACAAAAGCCTAAAGTCTCGCTAAAAGCTGAAAAAGTATTTTGAACTCTGAAGGGTGCTCATACAGACGGCTATACAAACAAGGAAGTGAAGGTAGAAAAAAGAAGAAAATAATGAACAACAAGCACTTAAGTCTAATAAACTTATACTTACCTGTGCAATTATGTCCCAAGTGCACTGCTCAAGTTCATCATTTGACAGGCAGTTGTGTAAATTTATCCCATTCTCAAAACAAAACCTCCTAACTGACCTCAAACTAAAGCCTTGTTGGGAAATCTTTCTCCTCACCTCGGAGTGTGTTTTTCTTTGAGTTATTTCAAGATCCTTAATGTACTCAGTACTGAAGTTGTTCATGTTTGGAAAAGTGACTGCATGGTAAATACGAATTTCCTGCTTCCTCCTTTGCAAAGAAGTGTAGTGTGGGAGGGGAGGGAGGGGGACAGGGGCAAAAAAATTACCATGCAAATGGACCCCTCTCCCTCCCTCTTGGGTAGTTCTGATTTTGAGTGTTTTGGCTGGAAAACAAAAATTGAAAATTGATTGTAATTTTCAATTTTTCTAAGCCATGTCACAGACTGCAACATGGTCAGAAAAGCAAAATTGCCGCTCAGTTTCATTTTTCTCTTTATTGTTGGCAGGATTAAAGTAAATATATGTTATGTTTCAATATTCTATCAAAAGGAAAAAAAGTCAAAAATTGGGCACTTTCGTATTTTTTATGATAAAAAGTTATGAAAATCAAAAATTGATCAATTTTGATTTTAAACGAAAATTGAATGGATGAATGACACACAGACCCTACGGCCTATTAGACTTGTGCAAACCTTTCAGCAATATTTCCTTATAACACTATACTTCATTGTGCAAACAGTTCTTTGACAAAAAAAATAATGGTGAAAGCAATAGATTGCATTTGAAACCAAGGCTTTGTAGCAGTTTGTAGTTGACTGTAGTATGGAGTTACACCTTTCAAACCTGTAGCCAGCTTAGCCAGAAAATTACTTGTGGTGGTCTAAGTATTATGCCCTGACATATCACATGAACCTTCCGAAGTGATGTTTTTCTTGAGGATAAAATTTTTTTCCTGAGGGTCATCCATCAAAGGTGATTCTACAGTGTGAAATGGATGGTAAGAAAGAAAAAAATCACAAATGCTCTGCAAATGGCCATGCTCTGTGAACAGGCACTGGGCATTTGATGAGGTTTGATTTGGAGTTCAAACTTGTATCCCTACATCCTCAGGGATTTTAGTTTGCAAGAATGTACTAACTGTTAATTAAAAGCACGGATGTGATGGTTGGACAGTGAAGGCATTCAAGTTTTGAATTAAAAAAAAATGAAAATTAATGGTTTTGTCAGGACAAGAACAACACACAATTAAGCCAAACTATGTGGTTAATTGACTTGAACTGATTCTTTGGTGTTTTATTTCAGGTTTCAAGGCTGTTTCTTGAAATACTTGAGAGTGCAGAACTACAAGGAATAATTTTCTTTGAAACAGTGGTTAATTATGTAAGCACAAAACACCTTTTTGTGTATTTTGCAGAATGTAGATCTATGGATATTTTATAGCAGATAGATGTTTCATTTTCAGAATCAATGCTTAAAGGTATAATAAAACATCTCACATAAGAACAAGCAAGAACAAGCAAGTACAACATTTGTTGATATGCCTTCTTTTTAACATATTTTATTGTCTTATCATGAGTGAATGTCATTTTTAGTTTGCTAACTTTATAGCACCGAGTTAAAAAGGCCAAGAACACATTTATTTTTAGTTATGAGTGGATATTCCTTTACCAGATAAGTCAATCAATGCACTTGTACATGAAGCACTTCTGTAAATGTTTTCATAGGTCCAGCATCAAGGAGGGAGAAAACTTCAATCTCAATTAAAAGATATTGTGAACAATAACAGGCAACAGAACATCATATTCAGTAATGAGTTCTGTGATGGGGCTTATGTTTCCAGGGAATCCAAGGAGTCTTCAGAAGAGTGGCAGTGGAGGTGAAGCTATGTTGAGGACATAGACTGACTTAAAATATGTGACCTTTTTTTTTTTTTTTTTTTTTTTTCCACTGAAGATGAGAAGTATGGTTAATTATTAGAAATGTTTTTGAATATAATCAGCTTTAATACTGGCTAACTATTCTATGATAGATTAACATGTCTGCACACCTCGGTGAATAACCCTTTAAGTCCCAACAGTGGCATCTAATTTCTCTTAACAATATTACCGCCTGATCAAATGTACAGTTTATGAGAATGAATGAAATGATCACCAAAGATGAAATGTCTTGATGTTCAAACTAATTCTCTCAATCAGTTAAATAAGAAACATATGGAGAACAGTAATGAGAACATACATGTTGACAGTGGGGGTTAAAGGGATAAAGTGAGTGGCCTATTGGTGTGCAGTTGTTAACAAACAGAAATGACTCTTGTTTGTTTTACATGATATCTGATCAACTATGCATATCATGCCTTGGAAACCTCAAGCTTTAATCCCATTGTTACTGTAAAAATGTCTTTCCTTACCAAGGGTCGTTTCTTGCAAGGATGTCTCAATGTCAACAAACATTGTGCACAAGATAAGGCATTTGTTCAAAAGTGAGGGTACACTATGTTTCCTCTGTTGTCAATCTATGATATCATTACATTTAAATGCAGCTTATTCCAGTGCATGAAGTTAGGGTTTGCACTAAACAAACTTGAATACCAAAAGAGGAAGGACTGAAGTCCTTGTAACATAATGCTTACCTTGAATTATCTCATTTCAAACTGTTACACATACATTTGTACATTATGCTATATTTATTCAGCTATAAGCTGATCTTGGCAAGAAGTTAAGACTCTCAATGCTTATCAACCCAACCAACGTGAAAAATAAAACAAAAACACCCAGCTTATTTTGCAAATAAATCGATTTCATTACATTATTGTTTAACAGTGATTTTCTTCATTCTTAGCAAGGGTATGTCAGATAGATAGAACTCGCTAGACTCTGATGTACTCATCACTGGCATGGTGAATAGGTGAGCAAGTGTTTGCAAACCTGCAGTAACTGTCAATCATTGGTCAATATTAGACTAATATTGACAAAAGTGCCACAAAATTTTGACTGAGGCTTCACACAATGCCTTGAAAACCTTGAAATGGAGACTCAGTTGCAGAAAAGAAAGAAGATATTAGAAATGTCTGATAACATTCTGTGTTGTTAGAAATAAATGGGACTTGATAATAGACATGTATGTTTTTGAAAAGAAAATGAAAAAAAATATATTTGTTGCCCTGCATCCAACCTCATAAACTAGACTCAGTAAACAAGTGTAAAACAAATGAAAAAAAAACTTTGCAAAGAAAAGTCTGACTCGTCCGTGAGGCTCAAGAATAGGGATGATATCAATTGGAAGACTCTATTCTATGGAACTTCCCTGAACATTATTTTGGGCTTTTGGTTGATTACTCTCACAGTACAGTTGTATTTTTTCATTGCAACCTTAAAAATTTGAGTTTCCTACAATTTAGAATGATTACATACTTTGTGTATCTTAATACACCTGTTGATGCAACCCAGTGGGGTGTGGTGAGTGACCAAGACAGATTTTATTTCTCCTAAAAATATTAATACAATACCAAGCCGCAGCATTTTCAAGACCGAGGTCACAGTTTTTTACCATACGGACCGAGACTTAGCCGGTAAATAACATATTTATTTTTTTAAGACTTGACGAGATTCTTTCCGAAAGAACCCGAATGGTCTAGAGCTGTAAATACGGCAAGATCTTCCATAAACTGAACAATTTTTGAGCGAGCAAATGGTAATTAAAATAGAGGTGATGCAAATTAAAGAGAGATGCCTCACCGAAACATTTTCATTTGCGTAAGGATAAAGGTGATCTAAAAGGCTTCCAAACAAACTTTGAAACATTATTTTTACAAGTATCTGTCACAATCTGACACCTATCAATTAGAGAGCGCGTAAGAAAAAAAAAGCGCAAGAACATTTGAAAAACAACGGAACTAGTTTGGCAAGGACTGTCACGACAATGTATTCTTCAAAAACATTCAATGATGTAACGGAAGGTATTATTCACTCTCATCGACGATTCATTCATGTACGAAGATTTACCTCTGTTCATTAAGTAAACGGCGAGGAAAGTAATTGTGAGTAAATCAAATGTTTTATTTGGAAGTTGTGAGAGTTTGCTCGTTTGTTTGCTGCAATGGCGTGTGTAAATCTGGTGTTTCCTCCACAAAAACTAAATTCGAATGGTCCACTCCAACGAGACACAAGGGGATTTATTGGGGCCTTTTCTCAATAAATCCCTTCAGTTTCTGTTGTGTAATTTATGGTACAAATGTCCAAATTGAACGGACTCGGAAAGACTCACCGAGGGCGTATATTTGTTGTAGAACTGAATTTAAAACTTCGCTCGCTCTTTCACTACGAACAAATTGTTCGAGAAAATTCAGATATTAAATGAATAAAAGTTCCATCGCCTAAACAAATTCATTCTGAAACCAATATTTTTCTTTCAACCAAAGTGATTTTGAGAGAGAAAAGGGGATTCATAAGTTATTTTATTGAGGTAGTAACCGTTCAATTTTCTTTTAAAATACTGCCCAAAATTGAAATGTTTATGATGGCAACGAAATTTGGATGTTTCGTTATTTTCGTAACCGTCCGTGGGCAGAGATAGGAAAATACTGACCGGGTAAAGAACCAATCAGATTGCAGGATTTGTCACCGTGCCCTCTAAAAATGAAAAATGAAAGCAGTGAGCTTTTCCTCCCAGTTATCCATTGTTTAAAGACTCAAGCGAACAACTGCACATGAGATGAAACCTGCGTTTGTGCTACGTTCAAAGTGACTGAATAGAAGAAACTTCATGAGGGACGTGCTTCTGGTTATTTCAAGTTTTCTTTTACAGTATAGTTATGGTGTTTGTGATGCGAACTGACAAGAAAAATCTTGCTTCCAGGGGAACGCAAAGGAAAACACATCAGTCTGTTTGTGAAAACGCTGTATCGAGTATATCAAAGCTTCTTACTCTTAGTCATTGACTCTTTCTCAAGACACCTGTTTGATGATTTTTGTAAAAGGCATAACGTTCACAGGAAATTGATAGGCGCGGAAGGTGAACCTTACACTGGTAACAATGGCGGCCTTAACAACTCACATACGCGGCGTGTCAAGTGTATCATTTTCCACTTCCGGTCTGAAATTATTTACCTCCTTCTCCTATTTCCGTCCTAGACGGAATTAAAACACTTAAAGAAAAATGCTTTAACTCTAAAATCTTCCGCAGAGTTCATGACCAAATGGTGGAAATCGCTATTATGTTTCTATTGAAAGTAAAACCACGAACCTTGGCTGACTGGGAAGAATCATGCGATTATAATAAATTACCATTGTGTTGCAATTGATGGCCTTGGGTTTGAGTGGTCAAATTCATCTGAGGCTAGGCCTTTTAATTCACTCTCAATAGGGCCAGATAACTACTACATCACCTCGAACAAAAAATCACCATAAGTTTATTAAATTTCTATTAGATAATTCAATAAAAAGTGCCATCGCATCATATGTCTAGAAGATTCAGCTACGGCATGGTAGAAACGTTTTCAATCAGAATATCTACGAAAAGAAGGGCACTACACTGTTTTCATTTTCATTTTTTTTTTAACTAAGAGAACACTAATGCCATGATGATAGGGTTTCAACTCTTCCGAAGTAAAGATTTGGAAGCGAGCAGACGACCCACTGTTCCAGCGGATTTTCGTCTTTGAATCGACTGAACTGAATGGCCTCTTGTTTCTTTTTCAAGGCCTCCAGGTTTGTTTGACAGGATGACTTCTGCCAGTAAAGGCTTGTCTCGTTGTCGTGAAGAAGACTGTAAAAAGAGATAAAACATATTTACAGCTTGAAATGATTTTTTTTCTGAGTTGCCTCATTTGAGAGCACTAGGTTTCGTTCTCTCCCCTCCCCTCCATACTTGCCGATCTCCAAACTCTCTATACACCGACAGAGTACTATAATAGAGTCTTCTGATTATTTCAGAACTCATGTTTTTTTTGTGTGTGTGAAGAACTTCTGTATTTAACTTTTTAATAACGCCATAGTGTACGGTTATTAAACAGCAATTCAATTACCGGTAGTTGTCATCCAGAAAATCACATCTATTTTCTGTAACATTCAGAGCAACTTGCTCAAAGAAAAGCTTTCGCTCCAAAGCTTCAATTTCTTTCATCATTTCAGTGGCTGCTCGATATTTCTGTGTTGCAAGCCCTATGTTAGGGGCGATGCGTGACCTTTGAAAGGCCTCAAGTAATCTACATAAAATGTCAAAAAGAGAACGAACAAGTAATGAACAATAACGGTCAATTGCACTAACAAGTACTAATTTTAGGTTTACAATATAAAACTTTGAAGAAAAGAAAAAGCTAAGAAAAGGTCTTAGATAGAGCAAATTATTCACCTTCTTTACGTCTAATAAGAGCTAGAGATACTGGATAACCACCCGAATACTGAGTCCCTCTCTATTTGTCGGAATAACCCAGATGAAGCCCTCCTAGCTAAAGACATTTACATAACTAGTGCATGTGGACTTTTTCCTCGGATTTTACGATTAAGTATACAAAGGAGAAAGTCAAGGAAAAAAAGTTTAATCGAGAAAGAATCAGCCACCACAGCAAACATTACACTAATGAACTTACTCATTTTCACACTGAAGTTGTTCCTGGAGACGAGCTATGTGTTCTTGTGCTTCTTTCAGTTGCTCTCTTAGTTTCCTACTCGACGGGAAAAAAGTATACAAATTTGAACAAGATAGACGATGTGATCAATGTCACCTGGAAAACAAAATCGAGTCGCAAGAGCATCTGAATATTTTCCTCCAAGCGGAAGAGAAATGTTTACTCACCTCTTATATTCTTTCTTATCTCTTCTCTTGGATTTGTATGAACTTAAAGCAGAACCCATGTTTAGCTTTTGCTGGGTTATATCTGAACAAAGTTTACGCGCTTTGAAATATAAGTCTCTCTGGACAGTATTTTCATGCGAATGGAGTGCTCCAGATTGTGACATAACAAAAGAGAGTCAAGCGCGCGAGAGATTTGATAAACCAATCAGGTTCAATTTCAGGCACTGTCATTTAAGCGCGAGCGAATTTATAATAACGGCAATATTTTTTTCGTTAGCTTTGTGTCAAAATGACGACCCTTGATTGATTTTTAATAAGTAAAAAAGAGTTATATCTTTCAAACCTCTGGTCCGCTTACATTAGCCACATGCTCGAAAATTACCAGAAGTGCTCTAAGTAAAAAAAAGATTAAGGCCTTTCAGTGGTAACTGAAAAAAAAGACACGATAACGAAAATAATAGGTTTAAAAGTACGTTTCAACTACCAGGTGTATCAAAATATGAATTAGGTAACATTTAATATTGAAGCACAAGTGCACAGCACAGTAGAACTTCACAGACTAAGTATCAAATGAGGTCTACGATAATGGAGGGTTGCCCATGCCTCAGACGATTTATCCACTTGATAGGAGCCTTTCAGTGGATCTCAACTACCTTATTACAAGCAATTCCAACGAATTATTTTCATCGAAACCTGTCGATTCCAACAAAATGCGAACTTATATTAAAGCGAGGAAATACAAGATGGAACCACAATTCAACTGACCAATGCGCATTTAGTATTTGTTTTCGACCGAGGTATCGAGGTAACTGGATACTAATCAAATGTTTAACTAGCAAGTGTTGTTGGGATATGTAATCAACAAAATGGCCCCGGGTTCAATTTGTAGTATGACTTGAAAAATGGCCGTTGTTTCATATCCATGAACGCCAAAATATAATCAAAACTAATAAGCTTCTAAGGCTGAAAACGAAAACAGGCCGACCTCTTGATGTTGTGCGGGAACACTATCTGCGGAAAGATGTTCCTTGTCACAGTGAAGTTTGTGCAGTTTGCGAACAAGGTAAGTAAGCGTTTGCAAGCAATGGAAGCTACAGTCAATCTTTTGAAGTTTTTATCTTAGTTACAGCATACTATAGTTCAGTATCACACACTTTAATTTATTTTGTTATTTAGGCAACGGAACTTTGCTTTGTAAATCACTGACTCATTACTTTGTTCCTGATTGCCAGGTAAGTTGAATTTGTTTACCGCACTTTGACCGATCTTGGCCCAAGGGGTCCATGTGTCATTCTTCCGTTCAATTTTCTTTTAAAATTAAAAATTGAAAATTGATATGAATTTTTGATTTTCGTTATTTTCTATCCTTAAAAATACGAAAGTGCCAAATCAAAAATTTTTTTTCCTTTGATAGAATATTGAAACGCAACTTTTATTTTTAATTTAATCTTGTCAATCTTGTTTTGCAACAATGTTGCAAAAGTGGCAGTGTAAAAAATTTACCGTGTTAGTGAAACAGAGCGGCATCCTCTCCCCATGGTCAGGTCCGCTTTTGCGGGTAATGGAGCCATATTTCGACTTTTTGTCACCATACTTAGCTAAGAAGTAAAAGATCGTGGTTGGAGCATGTTGGTGCGGGTAATGGAGCCATATCGACTTTTTCACCATACTGTAAAACGTGGTTGGAAGGCTTGGTGACGGAGAGGGAGTTTCTGATACCAACCCCTCCCCAAGGGCCTGCCTGGAGTCTGCGAAGGAAGTAAAAGTTTCATGCTCTTTTGGACTGTCCCTTCATCGACATCATGGCAAGCAATAAAACCTTTGATTTGACTTGGGACGGAAAAAAGCTTAAATTACAAATAGCAGCGGGGGATATGAAAGTTTCGAGGCTTTCCCAAGCTTTTCAGGCAAGTACACATTGTATCTACATTTGGAGTCTTGCAAAATCGCCCGATGACATGACTGCAACAATGCAAAATTAAATAATCTTAAACAAAATTTAGATCGTGTTTAACTGTGGTTACCCTGCAAGCAGTTGTGTTGGGGGTGAAATCTTCAACACTGAAAACAGCAAATGAGGAAAATTGTATTTCTCAGGTGGAAACTAATTTGTTGTACTTAAGGGATGAGTTTGGAGACATGATGTACTTGCTGACTGACTCAGAATGATTTAATGTCTTGCATTTAGAGGATGGCATGCATGGTAAATACGAATTTCCTGCTTCCTCCTTTCCAGAGAAGTGTAGCATGGGAAGGGAGAGGGGGGGACAGGGGCAAAAAAAAATTACTGTGCAAATGGACCCTTCTCCCTCCCTCTTGGGTAGTTCTGTTAACGATTTTGAGTGTTTTGGCTGAAAAACAAAAATGGAAAATTGATTACAATTTTCAATTTTTCTAAGCCATGCCACAGACTGCAATCTGGTCGGAAAAGCAAAATTGCTGCTCAGTTTCATTTTTCTCTTTATTGTTGAGAGGATTAAAGTAAAAATATGTTATGTTTCAATATTATATCAAAAGGAAAAAAAATTAAAAAATTTTTGATTGGGCACTTTGACATTTTGACATCAATTTTTCAATTTTTGATTTTAAACGAAAACTGAATGAACAAATGACACATGAACCCTAAGACTTATTAGACTTGTGCAGAGTAAACCTTTCAGCAATATTTCTGTATAACACCATACTTCATTGTGTGAACAGTTCTTTGACAAAAAAAATAATGGTGAAAGCAATAGATTGCATTTGAAACCAAGGCTTTATAGCAGTTTGTAGCTGACTGTTGTATGGAGTTACACCTTTCAAACCAATAGCCAGCTTAGTCAGAAAATTACTTGTGGTGGTCTAAGTATTATGCCCCAACATATCACATGAACCTTCTGAAGCAATGTTTTTCTTGAGGATAAAATTTTTTTCCTGAGGGCCATCCATCAAAGGCGATTCTACGGTGTGAAATAGATGGTAAGAAAGAAAAAATTCTTTGCAAATGGCCATGCTCTGTGAGCAGGCACTGGGCATTTGACGAGGTTTGATTTGGATTTCAAATTGATATCCCTAGATCCTCAGGGATTTTAGTTTGTAAGAATGTACTAATAGTTAATTACAGGCACTGATGTGATGGTTGGACAGTGAAGGCATTCAAGTTTTGAATTTATAAAAAATGAAAAATTAATAGTTTTGTCAGGACAAGAACAACACACAAATAACCCAAACTTTGTGGTTAATTTCCTTGAGCTGATTGTTTGGTGTTTTATTTCAGATTTCAAGGCTGTTTCTTGAAATATTTGAGAGTGCAGAACTTCAAGGAGTAATTTTCTTTGAAACAGTGGTTAATTATGTGTATTTTGCAGAATGTAGATGGATATTTTATAGCAGATAGATGTTTAGTTTTCAGAATCAATGCTTAAAGGTATAATAAAACATCACACATAAGAATAAGCAAGTACAACATTTGATGATATACTTTCTTTTTAACATATTTTATTGTCTTATCAAAAGTGAATGTCACTTTCAGTTTGCCAACTTTATAGCACTGAGCTAAAAAGGCCAAGAACACATTTACTTTTAGTTATGAGAGAATATTCCTTTACCATATAAGTCAATCAATGCACTTGTCAGTAAAGAGTTCTGTGATGGGCTTATGTTGCCAGGGAACCCAGGGAGTCTTTGGAAGAGTGGCAGTGGAGGTGAAGCTATGTTGAGGACATAGACTGATTTTAAATATGTGACCATTTATTTTTTTTTTTCACTAAAGATGAGAAGTATGGTCAATTATTAGAAATTTTTTAAATATAATTGGCTTTAATACTGGCTAACTATTCCATGATAGATTAACATGTCTGCACACCTAAGTGAATAACCCTTTAAGTCCAAACAGTGGCATCTAATTTCTCCTAACAATATTACTGCCTGATCAAATGTACAGTTTATGAGAATGAATAAAATGATCACCAAAGATGAAATGTCTTGATGTTTGAACAAATTCTCTCAATCAGTTAAATAAGAAACATATGGAGTACAGTAATGAGAATATACATGTTGATATTGGGGGTTAAAGGGATAAAGTGAGTGGCCTATTGGTGTGCTGTTGTTAACAAACAGAAATGTCTCTTCTGTGTTTTACATGATAGCAGATCAACTATGCATATCATGCCATAGAAACCTCAAGCTTTAATCCCATTGTTACTGTAAAAATGTCTTTCCTTACCAAGGGTGTTTCTTGCAAGGACGTCTCAAACAAACATTGTGCACAAGATAAGGCATTTGTTCAAAAGTGAGGGTATGCTATGTTTCCTCTGTTGTAAATCTATGATATCATTACATTTAAATGCAGCTTATTCCAGTGCATGAAGTTAGGGTTTGCACTAAACAAACTTGAATACCAAAGGAGGAAGGACTAAAGTCCTTGTAACATAATGCTTCCCTTGAATTAAAAT